AATTCAAACTTTTTTTGTTGAGATTTTTAACCTTAAAATCATCCCTTATAAATAATAATTGAATTAATGTTTGATTTGATTTTTGTTTCTTAACCTCTTTATTAGCAGCACAAATGATATCGTAATATTTGCGTACAATACAAATGATCAATGTTGCAAAGGAAATGATCATAAATACAACGATAACAGCATGAAGTACGATAATCCATTCATGTATAGTTATTAACGTAAATATATTCCAGTAACTAAAATTTAAAAATTTTGGATCGATAATTTATAAAAATTCTATTAATTATATGTAAAAATAAGCTTGCAATCTTTATAAATTACCTCATAATCAAAGGAAAAATAATTTTTAGCAACTATACAGGAATTGTAAAATGATATAAAATGATTGAATGTTATGAAAAATTGTTAATTTATTTCATAATAAAAATATTGTAAAATATGAATGAAAATTTTCGGCATAATATAAATTAACTGATAATGTTTTCATAATTGAATCATTGTTTTTACCATATAAAATGCATAAATTAATGGTGAAATTTTACAAAATATTACATCATCCTTTTTTTAATTTGTTTCGGCTTTAAAATAAATCTTTGCATTTAATGTTTATTGAAATAGAATTAAATATTTCTTTAAATTTCCTTTATTAAAATAAAACATAAAAACTGAAATTATTACTTTTTCCTTTTATTTATTTCATTTATTCATCTATCTTCATGTCAATATCCGCCAATAACCCTGGAATTTCAAATCTAGTGCATTTTTTTTGCACTCCACTCTAGTAATTTGAATTGAATTTTTGTGAACCATTACTGAATCACTGCTCTTTGCACACTTCAAATGATTTTGATCACTCTCGTTTTATTTTTGTTGATCACGTTCCAGATTTTTCAAAAGTTCACTAATCTGTCTATCAATTTTTACGCTTATTTTTGTCTTTATCAATAATTTATCAATAATTAAAATTACTAGTGGTCGAAACATTAGGCCAAAAAGGGAAACAAAAAAGAAAAAACGAAAATGGAATTCTGAAAAAATGAATTTGACATTGATTCCTTTAGCTACCAAAAATATTTCAAATACAAAATATCAAAAACGAAAGTTTAAAATTTCGGGTCGAGAAATGATGCATGCGTAAGATGATGTACATCGAACTGATTATAGATGATAAAATCTCTTCAATAATATATTCAAGCAAAAGTTACACCTAGTATTTTCACTAAATAAATTTTTGCACAGGTTTTAAAAAAATTTGTAATTTCCTCGAATTTCGTTCTAATAAATAACTTCTTCATAGTTATCACAAATTAATAACATATGAAAACCATCAAGACTAATTTTCAGATTTTTTTCCCTTGCAATAAAAATCATTGCTTGTTTTAGAAGTTATAAAGTTAAATTCAAATTTCTTCTCAAAAAATATAATTTTATTTTGCAAATAAAAAATGAGTGACAAAGTGACACAGATCAAATGATATTAACAACTGCAAACTATCAGATCGTTCTGATCACAATGATCATGAATCATTTTACAAGTGGGAGAATAAAAATAAATAAATGTTATGCAATTGATATGACTTAAATACGAATTATTAAAATTACAAAACAGAAAACAAAAAAGAATAGACTTTAAATGAGATATATGAGAAGCTAATAATTGTCATAAGATTTTTCAAATGAAAAAAGAAACGAAATAAATGCATTCAGATTTATGAACTTCTACAGTCATTTAATAATATATGAAAATTTAATCAGACGTTATATTTAATCATAATGTACGTGAAAATGGAGTGGTAGTTTATGATATCACTAGAAACAAAAAGTTATACAGATTTCTTTGCACAAAAAAGTTTCGCAAACAGCTTGTGTTTGCATCCTTTGTTCACTTCAAGTCAATATGGCGAGGAATTGTTTTGGTCTATTTGACATTGGCAGAATTATTTTATTATCTCATATATGTCAGGATAATCTTATCTCAGAATTTTTTCATAAATAACAAAATAGTATGTGGTAATTTTAAGCCAAATGGCCTTAAATCAAGTTTAAAAAAAACCCATTACAGTAATTTGGTAATTCCACAATTTAAGAGCCAAAGTTCTGACCAACATAAAAGCTAAATTTTGGCGAAGTTCCTTGTCTAGTTTCTTAAATGTAGAATTCAAAATGTTTACTTATGGTTGCAAGAAAAGAATACATTTCTATGGTTAAAATCTAACGTGAACCAATTACGGAACAACTGATAGCAATAAGATGAGAAAGTAAATGTATGACTAACTGTCTGGTTTACATGGCTAATTTTAAAGGTAAAATTTTAAAGTTCAACGACAAAAGTTACTGAGGAAGCAAAACGAAAATGCGAAAGTGGTCATCTCTCCAGAAAAGGAATATTCTATCGTGGATTCATATAAGACGGAAGATAACTTGCATGTCGTACAATAATTAAGCTGATTAAGTGTAATTGTGTTCCACTATTACATGTACAACGTCACCGACCGTTACATCCACAAGCATTGTTACTGGTCAGTCCACTTTCTATGTCAACTGTATCTCCCTGTGTCTTCTCTTCGTGTAATTGGATAGATTTACGATGGCCGAAGAGATGGGTACTGTTTTCTCTTCCGTTATTATAATAATTAATTATGTTGTTTTGTCCCCTTTTCGTCGATGATTCATTTTATGGCAATATTAAGCAATATTGAAGAAATCTTTTCATCAAATGGCATTCATATAGCTAAATAATTACACTAGACCTAAGCGTAAAATGAATCCAGTCTTATCTTATTTCAAAGCTCTTGTAATTTGATGAATGGTTAACGAGAATGTTTAATCAATTCAATATCGGTAATGGAAGAATATAGTAATTGTCGATTCTTTGTGCATATGAAAAAGAATTGATGAATAGGAAAATTTATTTGATTCTCATAAATCAACGATCGCATTTTTATGAAGAAAGGGAGACATTGGAGAATCCTGATAACACATTGTTAAAGTTAAGCGAATTATCGTGAAAGTTTTTGACTTTGATTGTTAGTACAGATGAATAATTGTGATAAAGTTTATTGAATGACGGGAAAATATTCTTTTTGGACGTTTATAAGAGAGTTATCAGATAATATTAAGTACAGTTGAGTAAATGATAAGTATTATTAATCGAATAAGATAAACGAAATAACTGATGATGCGCGATTGAGTGAATGAGCTCTGATGACTGATCCGAGCTCATTATATAGTGCGGAAGGTTTAATATTTCAGATACATTAGCTTAATTATAGATTTTAAGCTAGGAGTTTTTTTTTTTAAAACACTCTCTACAATTGCATATAAGTTTAATTGATAATTTGGAAGAAATTTGTAACGGAAGGCTTTACCTGTAACCATTTGAACTTGCAGTTAAGATTGGTTAAAAAATTGAATGAATTTAACTTTAACTATCGAAATGTTTATTTTGTTAACTTTGTGCAATGAATCACTTATCTCAAAACTATTCTAAATCCCAAACAAAACAATTAATTCCATTTTTTTTTCGGCTTTACGACACGGACGGATATATTTTAATTGCATTAGATGATTAAGAAACAAGTTTGATCGTGGAAATGTATTCGGCGACCACAAAAATAAAAAAAGCCTTTGAGGAAGAAATCAGCCAAACGATCCTGCAACAAGTAAGAAACAGACGTTTCCGAGAGATTACGGTATACCTCATGCAGGTTCATTGTCATGACGTATTATATCGATGTAGCAGTCCTTTTCCTCCAAACTTAAGGTCCGAGTCAGCTACTAATAAATAGTTCCTTGGATTTACTCATATGGGTGTACTTTCTCATCGATATAAACTAAGAAAATAATTGTTGAAACGTAAAATAAAAAAAAAAGTAAGGAAGTATTCGGAAGTCATTCTTTTCTTTTTGCACAATATTACTCCTGTCTAGAAAGATCCATTATTCGTTTGACATTTACGACCTGCTAAACTTCGTTTCTCCATTTTTTCGAAATTTTACATTTTTTTGTTGGTAAAATGTAAAATACTTCAGATGGCATGAATTGAAAAGTGAGACGGTATAATAGGTAACCCACAGTTTCTTTTCATCAGAATTATGAACTTTAACAAATCATGCCAAGCAAAATATGACCAGTGCATCTTGGCTACATAAAGCAAGAAAAAATGACGCCCATAATGATATGTGTAATTGTATATTTCTGAAACTTTATTCGACTATAAAAACGCTCTTAAAACGTGCAGTCCTAAAAATTTAGCATATTTGGTACCAAATATTAAGGAACACAAAGTTTTTAAGGAATTCTGAAAATGCATTTTAAGAAACATTATACTTCAAGAAAACCATTACTTTTTAATTATTTAATACAACATTTCAAGATTACAAACTGTGACAGAGTCTCGGATGACTTCGATGAGAATAATTTGTGACGCATAGATTTCTGATCTATTTTTAGCATTGATTGGATTCACAATTGATTCAATACCTTGCTATAAAACATAAAGCCAAACAAAGGCAAAGGTTTGGAAAAGACAAAACAATTATCCATAATAGTAATAGGGCCAATAACCACCATATG